ATAATGCACAAGTACAATGAGTGAGAGACTCTTTCCAGATCCTCACACAAGAGCATCGGAAATGGGCCGCTCTATTCGTCAAGTTCTGCTTTTATTAGCTTCCAGACACGTCACAGTTCTTGATACTCTCTAGGCTGTAGCCGCCTTCTTCAGGCCCCGATTTACTACTGTGTTACTTCAGCTGTATGCCAGTGTAACTCCTCAAAAATAGGGCTTAGGTGATGCACAGGGATGTGTTTCATTCATTGGGAACAGGCATGAGCAGAAAAATCAAGCTATCGGATGAACGGTTCACCTAGGGTTTTCTTTTGTGAGAGTAGTCTAGGTCTCAGGCTGGGATTTTGTATTTGGAAGTGACCAGTGGTTCTGAGTGTGCAATATACGAATCTTGATGTTCAGAGTATACAAGGGACCTGTGGACTGGGCCCCAGTGAGGTGTCTCTCAAGTTGGGCACTCCAGACGTGAGCCACTAGGGTCACTAGCCTGTTCTGCAAATCTAGACCTTCACCTCTTCTTCCAAGTATTGCTCAACAGAGGAATGTAGTAATAAAGCATTGTAGGTAAGAATGCAGGCTCGCACATGACCTGAGATCAACACCCTGAAAAATGGATAGAGGGTAGTGCTTTCAGGACCACCTAAATGACTCATGACCTTCAATTCAGTTGGATATCCTTCAGCGTCTGGGCCTTAGGAGCTTACATCTCTTTGAAAGCCAGCGAAAGGTGTGCTCTCAAGTGCCCACGTCACTTAGGTTATTCTGAAAACTGTACCCTATATACATATGGGTAGATAAGGGGCAGACTTCACAGGCACAAGTGGCAGTTAGACATGTAACTCCCATTGATTTTTTTTCCCCCTCGGGGACCTGGAAAATCCCCCCCCGAGGAGTTGAATCCTCCTCTCGCATTATTTTCACACCAGATTAACACCACTGGTTCCAGTGGAGTGACTCCTGAGTTACCCCAGTGTGAGCGAGAGGAGAACCAGTCCTGAGGTGCTCTAAATATCCAGTGAAAGTGCTAATGTGGCAATGAGGAAAAGCAGGGAATCTGAGCACAGGCCTGGAAGAGGACCCCCACCACCACCCGCCACATTGCTGAACTGCAGGTGACCACCAAACGAACTTCTTAGCCAAGAGGGGCCACAAAAACATTCATCCAGACCCTTTCCCTCCACCTCTGCAAACCACAGCCGCTCTGTCTCTTTCCTAAGACACCTACGACAAACACCAGACCTTCGGTACAAAAAGCCTCACATGCCAGTTCACCACTTGGAGACGGCAGAAAAACAGAAATAACTCCCGTGGGGAGTTTGTTAGGAACTCTCTCTTGCTTTTTTTCTACTTTCCTTTCCTTCTACACCCCTCTCCTCTGGTCATGGTCATTTCTTTCATTGAGAATAACACTTGCCCTCAGCGACAGTGTTTGTGTTGCCACCATAGGTGAGTTCCTTCTAGCTAAGGCTTCTCACGGGGCCGCATTAGGGTTTGGGGTTGGAAAACATCAGGTCTGAAGGGATCTCAGCAGGATGCTTTTCCCCTCCCTTTGGAATGTGGCTCACAGTGGAGCTTCTTGGCTGATGCAATTGTTGCAAGGATTGTGGGCTTCTATCTGCCATCAGTGCAGACAGTCTGGATGCCACAAACATTGCAAAGCAGACCAGATTCATTCAGATGGTCAACTGCATTGATGGGGGGTGTTAAGGTGGGGAGTTTTTTTATACTTTTCCAAGGCTTAGTGTAGATGAGGTGAAATGTCAAGAGCTGGCCTACAGCTGGTAGGAGCATTCTGTATAGATGCGGATCACTAGCATATCTTACTTACAGAGGCATGGAAAAAGCTCTTCTTGGCCTCTGAATTTCCGCAGCACTGTACATGAGGTCAGGCACTGTATTCCCGGTGTGACTCATTCTGACATGCCCTTCCCTCTCCATACATAAAGTAACAACCACAGACACCTCCAGGCAAAGCCACGTCCTCTTCAGGGAGAGAGGATTAGGTATATACTCCCTTGGGAATTTGTGTTGGTTGTTGCATCAGGAGTAGTGGAAAAGCTCCAACTATGCTGCTGGATACTCCTTGCTCCATTCTTTACTTCTGGGACCCCCTGCCTCTTGTGCTGCTCTCAGCAAACTTGATATACTGCTAGAAAAATCGTTCCTCAAGTACCCCTGTTCTTTCTCTGTCCAGTTTCTGTCTCATGCTACATCCTTTATACTGCCTCCTTTTAGCCTTTTAAAATCTGGCTAAAGAGGCAACTCAAGGAAATCCAAATGCTTTTCTCTGCTCTCTTCCTGTACCCTGAAGACAGCCCAGTTTCCTACACAAATCTTGTGTATTACACATTAAACCACTGCCTGCTCAAGGCAGGGCTTGTCTGTGTGTTCTCTCTCACGCTCTCTTTGCCCTGACTCTCTGGCAGGATCAGGACACGATACAATAAGAAAGATAGGGGGGTGCTTGGTTACAGCTAGTAATTTTAAACTGGAACCAAGGGAGAGGAATTAGTGTTTAAATTATTTAGGTTTGCAGTTGGTAAACACATACCCCGTTAACTTTGTGGGGGAAAAAAATCAAAACACAAACCCCAACCCTTTGTTCTCTAAGCAACATGGCAAAGTATGTTCTTGTGAACGGTGACAAAACACGCGCAATGCCCCAACCATCAGCCAAGGAGGGGGCAACATGCGAAATACAAAGATTAAAACATCCCTAGGGAGAGAAAAATGTTTCTGTTTTTTGAGGAGGGAGGAAGGCCTATGTCCAGGAAGACATGAGAGGCAGTTTTCCTTATAAAGTTAAAAATAGCAACAGTAAAGTGGAGGCAAGATGAAAAGTTGGGGGTCTGAAGTCAGAAAAGCAGGGAGACCATGTGGTCTTTGCAGAAACACGCAAGACAGTCATTAAGGAAACTCTTGTAAGTGAACATGACAGGAGGTGAGGCAAAACAGAAACCATGCTCTCTCCTTCCTGCCTCCTCCTAAACACACTCTCCCACAAATCCTGAGAGCTGAACCTCAGTTCTCACGACTCAGTGCTAGAGACACGGGGCACCTGCAACGTCTGAGCTGGGTTGGGCACCTTGTGTGCTACGAACAGCAAACATACTCTAAGCCTCTCCTCCCTGGGCCTCTGCCCCCCCGTGTCTGCCAGAGCACTCTCCCTCCCCAAACACAAACCACCCCCCTGCCCCTACCATGGCAGGAATGGGCAGGGTGGTGAGACCTGACATACGGTCCAAGCACTGCCTGATGTCTGCGCTACATTTGCTGAATTGAGGTCAGGCTGGAAGGTGTCTCAGGGTTTACCACCCATCATGACATGGGAATATTAGCATATATATCGTTTATGAAGTATGACACAATACCTATCTGTCAGTCAGCCCATCTTTTTACCTATTTAGTCTGTCTAATCTACTTTAGCTAGCTACGTTTCACTATCTCTATCAATCATCTATTGCTCCATATTATCTAATTTCTTCCTGTCTCTCTCTCATCTTTTTCACTCTAATCTTTCTTACTCTAGCTATACTCCCCTCTCTCTCCCTATCATCCACCTATCCACTCGAAAATCTTCCCCCTTCCTCTCTCTAATCCCTGTTTTTAAAAATCTGTGTCCAATCTCTCTCCCCCTCTCTCTTCCCCTCTCTTTTTTTAAAAAAAATCCTCCCTCTCTCTCTCTTATTTCTACACAACGCCAGGAAGCACATGGAAATGAATCCTGATGTGTTTTGATGGCACTTCCAGTGAGCGGTCTACGTTCAAACCGATGATCTCCGAGGAGACACTGTTCATCTTTTCTCCCTATTTGCAACAAAGAGATGGAGGAGAACAAAGCAGCAGGGCAGGGAGGGACAGCCAGCCCTCCGAAGGCTGTGGGGCTGCCACTCCAAGCGTCAACCACCAAGGAACGTTGGGCCTGTCAGCGGACCCATCTTTTTGGTGCGACTGCCATGAGGGTAATTTAACCGTGGCCCTGTGGCACTTTACAGCAGCCCTGCAGGGTCTGCTGGCTGTCATTGCCAATGCAGCCAGGAAACCGCCCAAGCTGGTGGGAAAGCACGTGACAATAATCAGGGCAGTGAAAGAGCAATAACTGGGCTTTTACAAAAGACCAGTTATTACCGAATACATTTTAAATGTTCACTCTTGCAGCTCCTAAACAGAGCAGCAGACCTCCCTGCTGTGCAGGCTCAGGGCTGGGTGTCTGTCAGCCCTCCATGGGGACAGGCTGGGTATAGCGGGCGTGCGGTCGGCACACACCAGGGGACATCCAGCACCCTCTGGAAAGTGGAGGTTGACAGCAAGGTGCGGTGTGCTCTCCCCACGGTGCTTTTAGCTGGGCTGTAAATGACAGCTAAAAGCCT